TATTATTTTCTACACTGGTTTGGGATATTTTCATCTCGCTTATGCAATCACTTTTTCAGTAAGTATACATTTGTTTCCGTTCGTTCGTTTATTATTTTTGGTGCCAAGTTCTGAGTTTTTCTATCAATATGATATGACCGCTTCCAGTCAGTAAGCTCATACACACACGAATCGCTTGTATAAAATTTGCTGGAATGCTGCCGGTGAAAAAGTGTAATAAATGGATCAAGTAGCTATTCTTGTATGTACTTTTGGTGTTTCGTTTTTAAATCATTTCATATATGTCATATAAAAAGATCTTGAGATTATCGTTACTCAGAGATGCACTTAGATCGAATTGCGAGTCGTCATCGTCGTCATTGGTAGAAATGGAATCAAAAAGAATGTAACGAAATCACACGCAATAAATGTGAAGAGTTTGTGCAATGGTCGGTCGTTTGAATGAACCAAAACGAAAATTGCAAATAATAAAATAACCTCAAAGAAAAGGAAAATGATTGAAGAAAAAAGTCAAATGTCGCGATGCTTTTAAACACTTGGACTTTTATTACGGATTGTATTTGGGTCCATCGACATACGTGCACTCTCGCTGACGAATGAAGGAGAACAAGTGCACTTCTCTATTTGAAGATTATGTCGCAATGATATTACCTCATTTTGATTGTGATGTCGTTGTTTGTGTTTGTTGTTGTTCAGGACTTCCGGTTTTATCAAAATCAAACGACGAACAATCTGCAGCACTTTCATTTTATTGTACGTCTACCTAATCCTTCTGTATGTTTCATCTGAATCGAACATAACATTATTTCGTTATTCATTTGATTTTGCTCTGTTCATTTTCCCATTTCGTACATAAAAGAATGAAAGGGGAAAAACCGCATGCTTCGGATAACGTTCTGTTTTTTTTCTTCGTCTTCCACTTTTGCTTCCATCTTCCTTGGATTTGTTATTTGATTTGGTGTAACTGTCGCATACTCTAGGGATTTTTTGTCGATTTATCAAACTATAAGAAATATAATCGTAACTATTACATGTAATATGTGCCAGTTGTGTTACGAAATAGTGGTTCAACTTCGTTTTTTTTTTCGTTCCATCACAAGTGAACTAATAATTTCACTTCTAACCTAATTTTTCCCATTTCGTTTCGTACGTTGTTTTATCTCTTTCTTTCTCTCTCTCCATTTCATCGAATTGAAAACAGTAAGATGTTTGAGATGCACGGACTGCTGTGGCTATCAAATATATCGAGCAAATGTGAGATATTTTTTCTTTCAATTTCTTTGTCGTTCTTGCTCTTAAACGACATTTCATTCCATCCATGCGACGACATTTTCATCGCACGCGTGTATGTGCTACTGAACTTAATAGAGCTAATATTTTGTTCGATATGAACGCTTGCGATATAGTAATGTGTTGAATTTTTGAGGTGTTCGTATTCACAAATGCCGGATATTTATTCAATAAAAAGAAACGAAAGTCACATCATAAAATATTATTTTCTTCGTGTGGATTTTCATTCGTTGGTTTATAGATTGCATAGCCGCAGTACACACTGGCACTTGCTGATATTTCAACTAACATTCAATCCACATTTAAGCTTTCTAACGTGTATTACACCAACTTATGACTTTCATTGCACGTTCGACATCTTGATTATGTGGTTCTCTCTATTCTACGTTTAGTCCATTCGAACATCATTTGCCAAGATAAAGGAAAATGTGTGTGTGTGTGTGCCACATAAAAAGAAAGACAGAATAAAGAGAATGGAAAGAGCGGGTGAGAAAAACCCCAATGAGAACGACATTCAAGTAAAAATAATATTATTTTTTGTGAAGCAGCTCGCGTACAATCGTGTTGTGAACTCTGTGTGACTTTCTTTCAAATATTTGCCAAGTCGAAAATCGCTTAGATGTCACGTTTTTCCATTGAATGCGTTTTTTGTACTGCTTTGACTGTCGTTCGGTGTAAGTTGGTCGTTAGTTTAGTTTAAATGAAATCTGATGCAGATTGCATGTTGTTTTTGTTACAGCAAACAGTAACAAACTTGAATGACTTCATCACAAGCAAAGGAATTACGATGTGAATGCAGCCAAACCTTGTTAATGGAATTTCGTATATGTGCATGTATGTCAACTTTTGAAATTAATTTTTATCAATTGATTCGATCCGGCAGAAGTACTCTTTTTTTTATTTATATAGACGTTAAAAATCGTTTGAAAACAAATTCAATCACAGAATATCATTGAAAATGGAACAGATTAACTATAGTTTTACAACTTTTGCTACAACCCGAGATTTATGGATATTATTACTTTGAGATGAAGATTTTTCTTTGACTTCCGCAGTCTCGGTAAATGTCATTTACATGATATAACTTTCGAAGAATGTTGCATAACGGCAAATTACATCTGAGTTTAAGTAAGTAAGATTGAATTACATTCTATTTTCTTTGAAAGAAAAAAAAAAGTTATTTATAAACTTCCATTGATTCCTTTGCGAATTTTAAAAGAATTCTTGATATAGATACCGTACTCTAGTTAATAGAAGACGTAAACTACTTAAGTAAAAGTAAATCTTGTCTCTTTTTAACCATCGGATTATGTGGTAGCGACATATGGGAACTTTTTTCAAATGCAAAAATCAATATTTATTCTCCTGAGATTGAATCTGCACCGCAAACGTACTACAAACGAATAGAGAACTGCTGCAAATATAATTCGTTCCTCTATTTTGGAATTAATGATGCGGTAGGCCTTTTTAAATTTGTGACAATCGTTTCTCTTTCTCTCTCTATCTCTCGTTCACTTCACAATTTCTGTTATGCCGAATATATTGGTGTGCAGTGTCCTCAATCCTTCCGTTGGAATATTATTTCCGATGAAAATGCTTTTTGAACATATTGAAAGCATTGCACGTACGACAAAAACACATGGCACCCAGCAAAATAGATCCATTAATGTGCCAAGTTCTTCCGATTTGGCAATATATGTGTCGTTCACACAATTGCGAGAAATGAAAACGAAGCGAGAAAAGTGATTCGGAAAGAGTTTGATAAAAAAGAAATGGCATTCAACGACATAACACAACACACATAGAGAGAGAGTGTGTGTGGGTGTGTGTGATTGCAACGACAATGCTTACGGAGCGAAAGAGTGTGCGAATGAGAAGTTTCTCGGTCACATTTAGTTTATCTGTGTTGTATGTGTGCAGCATTTGAAAAATAAAGTTCTCATTTAGAAACGTTGTTGACGACATGTGACAGCCCACAACATTATCGGAAAACAATCAAAATAAGTTGGTTATTTTATTTGACCACTTTTATTGCACATCGAACACCAAATCGGTTCTTGCTGAGAGTTCTTATTTAGTAAACGACAAAACAAACCAAAGAGCATTGCTTCTGGTAAATTTATCATCATTACTATAAAATTGAATGTTTCCCATTTCGTCATATGAAATACACGTGGTGCACACTTGAACTGGCCATTATTCAAGGTTCTTATTCTTTTTATTGTATACAATTTTAATGCAGCAAAAAAAAAACAGTTCTCCAACATCACAAACGATTTTAAGATTGAAGTTTATTTCCGTTTGAAAAATGAACATATATAATCAGTTAATCACTTCGGAGACACTTATTATTAGATTAACAAAATGTCCACATATTTATTTCGTCATTTTTCATCGCTCCTTTGACGCGGTATTGTGACCGATTATAATCGAATAGCTTTTCAACTGCTCTATATTACGTCGTTTTGGTCAAAATTCTTTTATTCGTCGAACCCATTTTTACTGCGCAGTTTCCATAATTACACAACGACTATTGTTTATCACAACGATTTGTTTTCATTGTTTTGTTAAAAACAAGACATTTCGAAATAATTGGTGTAAATACATAAAGCGATGAGAAAAGACCTTTTTTCCGCACAAGTGATTTTCTCCACATTTTGTGCGGAGGTATTTAATGACTTGTGTGTACTTGTTAGAAATAAATCATTTAATTTACGTGACTGTTAGACTTTAGAGAAAAAGAAATCGATTTCTCAATAGCAAACAAGTATCGGTCAACAGCAGACAATATATTTAGCTGCCGTCATCTGGATATTTCAGCTCATCTGGATGCCGTCAGCAGATGATGAGAAGTGAAAACAATAGAAGTGATTGTTATAGTAATACCAGTTTATAACAAGCTTATATACCTATAACAATCACTTCTATTGTTTTCACGTCGTATCATCTGCTGACGATATCCAGATGAGCTGAAATATCCAGATGACGACAGCTAAATATATTGTCTGGTCAACAGTTTGAAACACTGATAATGTATCAATAACCATAAAATTCTAAGTCACAAACAATAGTTTCGTATCTTATCTAATTTCATTGCACACTTGAATATTATATATAAAAAATGTTTCCTTTAAGCCTCTCTCAGAATTTTCAGCTGATTAAGTCTTCGCCTCAAAAGAAAATGTAAAAATTCAAACTGGAAAGAGAGCCAAACAATGGAAGTATCGTAGTGGTATTCATACAATTTGGTATTATCAACGCAGCGTGAATAACTGTTATACATTACATTATTAGAGTCAAAGAGAAATTCAAACAAAAAATATTTAATAGATCAGAACTTATCGTTTTTTATCTTTCGTATATTTTATGATCGATCATAAGTTGTACAACAACTTCATTGTAAAACTCAATTGCGCAATAAAAAAAATCACTCAAGTTCAAGTACGAAGAAACATTGAACTTGTAGTTAATTGTATGATTTCATTTAACTTTTTAACAAAAAATCAGCCAGTGCAAAAGAATTTTTTTTTAATTGTTGAACTGATAATTAAGGCTTCAATGGATCTGTTGATAATTTAGATCATATGACCAATAGTAATGTAGTAGATCTTGAGTGCCACTATCAACGGATTAATCTAATCGCTTATATTCGATTGATTACTGCACGCTCTGAAACATGTATAAAAGAGATTAATAGCTCGATACTACACTCCAGATTTAGTTGTTCCTATTGAAGAGTTGTAAAAATTTAGTTTCAAAATGTTGAAATTAACGTTGGTTTTATTGGTCACACTGTTGGCCATCAGTTGTGCATTCGATTTGAGTGAGTTTACAATTGATACCAGAGTTGTGCAAGGTGAAAATGCAGCTCGTGGACAATTTCCGTACTATATTTTCTTGAAAATCAAACTCGGAGAAGGATATGCCGCATGTGGTGGCTCACTCATATCAGACGAATGGGTTGTCACTGCGGCTCATTGCTTGAAGGTAAATATTCGACATTCTCCAACGACAAAATTCTATAAACATTTCATTTAACTTTAAGTTAAAATTGGATGTTTTTTTGCTTAAAGGGAGTATCCGGTGTGGAAGTTCATTTGGGCTCCTTGAAAGTAAAAGACGTGAACGAAGAAGGGCGTGTTGTTTTGAGTGTTGGCAAAGAGGGTATCCACGTTCATCCACGTTATGTTCAAGCTGTTCTCTGGAAGTGAGTATACGATGTCTTAAAGTGGTTTTCAAGTTTCTTTTTTTCAATGTTTTTCTGTCATTTTACAGCGACATCGGTTTGATTAAGCTCCCACAAAAGGTTGAATTCAGTAAAACTATTAAGCCAGTTAAATTGGCATGTTCGTCATCGAAAAATTTGGCAGTAACTGTTATTGGAAACGGTCTCATGAAAACAGACTCCAAAGAACTTGCACCAATTCTGCAATTCACCACATTGAAAACAGTTCCATTGACTCAATGTTTGGTTGAGTATCCAATTTTGTTTTTGAGAAAGAGCGTGATTTGCGCTCGTGGAGTACAACAAAAGAGCTCGTGTAAAGGCGACTCTGGCGGACCCCTTGTTAGCGCCCAAAGCGGAGCATTGGTTGGTTTAACCAGTTTCGGTTCTGCACACGGTTGTCATCTTGGCTATCCACAAGGCTACACAAACATTCCATCATACCTTCAGTGGATCCAAGAAGTTACTGGCATTTCAGATTGCGAAAGCAATGTACAATAAACATGTTAACAAAACGTTTTTAATATTTTTTAAATAAAATTCATTGGGAGTTTTAAAAGTTTTTTGAGTCACTTTATCGCCCTGTTTGATGTTGATTCAACGTAAATTAGAACAAGGTAGCGATAAGAAACAAAAGAATATCAAGAAAATTCCAAGAAAAGAACGGAAAGCACAAAATAAAATTAAATCGATTAAACTCATAATGAAATTCTCATTGATTGGTGACAATAAATAAGTAAATATGAGAGTCAGAAATATATTGGAAAAACAATGAAGAATTCAATTTAAAGTAAAACAAACTTCACTTATAAAACATGCAAACCATCCGATTTATTAACAGGGCTTTAAGTTTTCGCCGATAAAAAGTTCATCGCATTTACTTTCGATTGACAAAATAATCGTTTTTCGAATATTTGAAACGAGAAAATCTTATTCCATCTAAAAATATATTCAAATATTGATCAATCAATGCCATGCTTCGTTTATTGTCTTTCAGTTTGCATTTCATTCAAACTATTTCGTTGCTCATTTTAGGTTAATGAAAGTTTCCATGACATTCACCACATAGTACTACTTCCTCTAGTCACTCTACTATCATATTATATATCAAAGCTTTTTTGGATGAAATAATATGGTTAAAATCTTTTTATATTTTGGACCTAATTGATTTTATATGTTATTCAACAATGACCAATCAATTTAGCATTCAATTTTCCCTTCCAAAAGACATATTTTCAGATAAAACAATAAAAGTTATTGTTACTCTCTGTTTTGCGACATGGACTGATCAGCGAAAGCTTTTTGTAACATTCTCAACGTTTCTGCAGCAGAAATTTCATTCCGCATGCAAAATTTAATGCAATATCTTTGTTCCAAATTTTCTGTCATTATGAAAATCGCCAAATGAAAATTTATCGGTGAAAACAAACAAACGTAACCAAAACCTCATAGAGATATTGACATGAAATTTTGTACAGATGTCAAAGACAGTGCTACCAACCTATAGTCGGAAGGTTTTAATTATTAATTTTCCGCGCGAAATTTTATTAATAGATTACCGGTATTTTTTGTCCACAATAGTATAATGATGCTGGCTAACGTACTGTCAGCTCAACTGACCAGTTGGTTCATTATATTGTCTGCATATTTTATCGCTTTAAATATATCTATTTTTGAATTTTTAGTTCCATTTGAAGAATATAAAAAGAAATCATTGTATGCAATTTTCGGACAGATATACGACATTAGTTTGTTTGACAGGTTTAATTATAATTATGAAAATATAGTCGCCCACAATTTACACAAGCTATAGCCAAATATCATACCCAACCAGACGTTCATAATTATGTAATCAAAAATAGGCACGCCACTTGACCGCAAAAGTAATAATAAAAATCGTTATCACATTGAGACAAGAATTGCTGTTTTTTTTTGTCTTCGGCGAAATATTACCATTGTTGACTGTCACTTTTGATTTCGATCAATTCATTTCAGCACAGTCATAAAATTATTTTACCTATGCAGGCTTGGTAAAAAGCTTAAACTTTCAAATGGCATCTATGAAATATAAAATTAGGCTGTCAATCAAATAAATCATCTGTCTATGAAAAAAAAAACGTTGATGTAACGTGTTTGTCAGGAAAAAAACCCGATGTCAACTCAATTTCCCTTTATTTTGAAGTGTCAATAAAACAGCTAATCCGACCAGACTGAGCGATGAAGTGTTCATTCAACGTCTAAATGATGTATATTTCAACTGAATTTCGTTATCTGCTCAAAGCAAATACACTTTCTCAGCATTTTATTAAATTTTCGAAGTTTCTATCGCATTTTTCTCTCGCTTCTTTTGGAATATAAATAAAAGTGTCGGTGAAAAGGTGCTAATACACATTCAATCTATTTGAACGGAACATATATGCTTTCGATGCAGAATCCGATTAAATGATGTATCTTATTCGATGGTATTTTCTTTTTCATTGCCATTCTGTGGCTAAAGAGAGTCACCCGCTTTAGAATTTTTGCAAAACTTTAATTTCAAAATAGAAAAATAAAAATGAAGCAGCGTTGGAAGCTCTTTCGCAAAATCCCCAAAAAAATTCTATTAAATTAAATTGAAAAATAGAAACTCATCATTACTTAGGAATGTCGGAATAAATTTTTTATGTGAGCAGTAGGAGAAGTGAGTATCAACAAATCATAAAACTATAAAATATGAAAATTTTATCGAACTTTTATACGTATTTCAAGCTGTATTATATCGACACTAGATTTTTGCATAATACTCTAATAAAAGTCAGTTTTCTTCGTTTTTTCTCTTGATTGGTTTTTTCTCGGATTTTCTTTTCGGTTTGTGCAGAACATCGTAAAAGAAAATGATGTACAATACATATCGACAAGGTTTTGATAAGCAAAGGAAAAGAAAATACCGATAGCTTTACTAACGTAAATCTGCTTGAATATGCATTGAAAACACGACGCAGAATCTTAGACTGAAAAAAAGTCGAGAACGAAAAATATCGGATTACGGAAATTGGTAAAAATGAAACGAGGAAATGGGAACACGTTGATGACCTTTTCCATCACCTTTTCTGGTGACCGTATACCGGATTTTGTATTGGATCTGTCTGATTTGGTGCTGATGAAACAAAAACTTCAGTAATTTTGAACTCAAATTACTGTCGAAGTAGAAACAATTGCATATTTGAAATGAATTCGCATTAATTGAATCCACTAATTAATTTTAAGTAATAATCACGAGAAAAATGTGTATAATAAACACAATTTGCTTGAAAGCAAAACAATACAACAGAGTGTTTTATCACGACATGACAAAAACTCAAATCAACACAGTTCCGCTTAATAAATTTTACAATGTAACTATTGTACGCCAACGAAACGCTTGTAAATATGAAAATACATCTCGACTGTAATTTATTGCCGTGGATTTTTTTTTTGTTCGCATGAAAAATGAAAGAAATAATATGGAAATGTTCACAAGTAATGGAGATGGAGAAAGCATGAAAGTACCACGAACGATGACAGAGTTGTGCATCGTATAAAGGGACAAAGTCAAATGGTCATGGCAATATTATATAGTGGCGAGTTGTCTTGCTTTCTTACAAACAACGATTAGTCACAGATATCAGCATCCATACGCTTGGCAGCGTTGAGCTAAAAACAAAATATGCTATGACAAAAATACTTCACTCACTTTACATGCATATAACATCTATTTGTATTAAGTAGCTTACACAAAAAGCACACGAGTGTCAGTGTATTTTGTTTGATGACGATCATATTCGTTCTCTGCGAAACTGAAGCGTGAGCGCGAGCGCTTTCACTGAAAATGGAATGAATAATACACTAGTTAGGAATGGTTTTTGAAGTCTTTGCCAATCTCAAATGCATAATGCTACCGATTCATTGTATATAATAAACGAGTTGTTTCACGTGAATCCGAAGTTGGTATTGCTGATGGAGCTGTCGCATTTCTATGTTGTTGTTTTTTTCGCGCAAAATGAAAAGAAAATCTACACACAAACACAGCTAAAAGATAAATTAATCATCGTCTGTCGTGGAAAGAGAAAAACTTGGATTGAATGGAGAAAAGTAGCATTGGTTCCGTACCAAGGAGACAAACGTACAAAGTGAAATGAATCTTTTGCTTTTTGTATTGTTATAATTCCGTATCTTTTCGATGTACGTTCGTAAGGATTTGCCTGGAGCACATTTGTCGACTTTGGTGTTGCATGCGCTTATCTTACATTCTTCGCAAGGATAGCATGCGTTCGTCAAAATATGTTCGGTGTTTTCGTTCGTTGTGGTCATTGTGTTCGCGCTTTCCAGGAACTCATTACCACTGCGTATGGCAATACCGAAACCATTATATAAACTCACAAGGAACCAGACTCCTCTGTATACGCATGAGTGGCCCATAGTTATTGGGGTTTTCGACGAAGCAAAACGCTTTTGCAACGAAAAAAAAACGAGAATGAAACGCAAACGGCACACAACATTTGTGCGACCACTATGATTTACTTGATACACCCGAATGAAAAATGATGTTGTTTTACTCCTTTCGTTTTGTTGTTTTTTTTTCTATCTTGTTGCTCTACATCCAATTTTCTTGTGCTCTACAGTACTCTCGTTTTTTGGGTCCTAATTCATTCCGTCGTTTAAAACATGAATCTTACCCTCAATGCACACAAAATCCAAGACAATCTCTTCTGAATGCGATCAAAAGTGGCACAAAGCAATAGTTGGAAAACGAACTTATTCCATTTGAAATGTAGTTCGTCTTATTCTTTTTCTCGTTTAGTTTTTTTTTTGTTGTGGTTTTTGCATGTGCATTTCTTTAGTTCTTTCAGCTGGCACATTCGCCAAACTAATTCTTCATTTCAACTTTTGAATTCGGTCGTTTTGGTTGTTTGTTTTTTTCTTTCTCATTCTTTTTTGTTTCATTTGTCTTTACTCAATGCTGGAAAATTATGCCAAACAAAAATGTGCCTTAATTTCGATTGAAAAACACTTTTCGCTTGCTTGAACTTATTTCAATTGAATCAGTTTTTAAACTCTTTTCCTTTCGTTTTTGAAGCACGTTTGCTTATATTTTATAAAATTCAAACTGTAAAGCAAGACAAACTTAGTTTTCTCCATGCGAGAAATTAAATTTAAAGATAATATTTACAAATGTCGATATTTAAGGCCGATAATATTTTTCATTCTTGAAAACCAGAAATCAATAATACTACTCAGCTGCATTTATTAGGTGTTTCCATGAAAACGAGATAAGAGTCAATGCATCAACTAAACATACGGTTCTACATCGTTTTTTTTGTATGCAAATGGAGATGCATTGCTTTTGACGAGAGGCGATTTTTTTCGGTATCGATTTTGGTAAAAGGTGTATGAAGGCGAGCAGGAAATCCGGAATATAGTTAATCGTGAAGAAACGTTTCGAAAAGCATTTGCAAAATTATTTTTATTATACGCACGATATATATGCTTGTGAACACATTTGAATAAATGAATGGATTCAAAGCTATATTCAAAGTTATCGATTTCAATCGGTTCAATTCAAACAAAATTGACCCTTTGCACTATGGAATAGCTTTCAATCAAATTGATTTTACATTTTAAAAATGGTTTTGGGTGAAATAGGTTTCCGTTTTTCATCGGTTCTATGTTCGCATCGAACCATAAATCGTCATGACATGATGCCGGGCTATATCATCAGTTCTTTTTTGCCTCACACTTTCATCTCACACGCGCAGACAGCACCAAACCGAA